AACTAGGGGTACACGGAGCTACATGTGGTAACGCTACTACTGCCATGCCTTTCTGCTGGCACCCGTGTGCTGGCCCTGCCTACGTCAGAGACCATCCTCGCTGAGTATCCAAACGAGCAAGTTGCCCACCAAAGAAACATCCAGGAGTACCTTCGAGAAAGTGCTGATAACTAGGACCTGGAGCGTAATAGGACCAATTGCCACACACGGCCACAAATATACGTCAACACTTGCTTGCTAGCCTCTTAGACTAGCACCCGTGTGTTGGTCCTAAGAGTGCCAATCAATTTCGTTTTGCTCTTCGCTTTCGTTGGCCTGAGTAGCTAGACAGTGCCCAGGCTGCTGCCCGCGTAGTGGTTCTGGATGGGTACAGTGTACAGAATTAGGAAAACGGCGTTTCACTCTGTCTCACCTATTTTCGAGTAGTTCACGGGGCCCTGCGTGTATCGGCTTCATCATACCTGGCCGCGTTTGAAAGATGTAGTCAGATTTCCAATTGCGACATTTTTGCAGCACACTTCAAAGGATTTTGCCTTTCCCCCGCCTTCATTCGCCGTCCATGCAGCATGTCTTGCTTTGCTCTCGGTGATGAGCCGTTTCTGGAGTGGAGTGTTTGACGTGCTGCCTTTGATGCCTCCCCCTCGGGGGGAGGTACGGGAGAAGCAACTCCCTTGGCCTCTTTTTGAAAGCTCGCCAGTGGCATTACACGGTCTTCACTATCGGTATGTTGGACATTCCGAGCATGGGGACTGTGGTCTTCCCAGGTAGTCACTCTTTGGCTTGCACGAGGCTCGTGGCTGCCAGCCGTCAAGCAGGCTATCTGACTTAAAACGAGTCCAAGATGAAATCTTGTGGACCATGCATGTAAGCGCACATTGATGTCGGTCATGGGACTCTTTCGTGCTCTGATGCAAAGCCTGTCCAAGCAAGATCCTTGCAATAAATCAACCGCAGAAGTTTGATGTTTACTTCTGTGGGCAGCAGATCTTGCATTGATGTGCCTGCTCTTGCTCACTCGTTTGCCAGTTCGTCGATGGACAAGAACTTCTGAGTGCTTTGCTGAATTCACTGCCCCTGTTTCACCTCTCTTCATGCCTTCATGGCACTTCGCTCTACATGTTGCTCCCTTTCTGGTGGTTTTTTGGGTGTTTGTTGGGTTTTGTGTGTTTGGGGGCTTGTTTGTGTTTCTTCCTTTCTCTGTTGGGTCGCAACCTGGCTGGTAGCTCTATATTCACTCGACTAAGGTGACTTGTGCACAACCTGCACACACAGCGCCTCCACTCGTGCAAAAAAAACCTGAATGAAAAATCATCAAACCTTCCGTGCCCTTTGGCTCAAGTTTTCGGTTCAAACCCATCAAACTGGTGGGCAGGAGGTTCAAGGATTTTTCTCTTAAAGAGAAGAGATTTCCTCTGTTGTTTGCTCGAACCCCCCTAAGTTCTGTGTCCTTGCACCGGTTGACCTTGCTTTTGCCTTTTCCCATACGATATCCCGTGATATCGTCTTGGGTTGTTGTGTTTCTGTGCCAATACAGCAGCCCGTGCTACTGTCTTTGGTCTTCGTTTCGTTGCTTTAAAATGCTTGACAGAAGCCTGTTGTTTGATCTCAAGCGAGGGTACTCGCAAGCGAGACTCGTTCAGATGCTCGTGGCCTTGAACGGAAGCCCACTCAGGTGATATGGATCGTCACTCATGGACGCGTCAAGAGATGTTCACCTGAGCAACTATAAGGCATGCATCCGGCCAGGAGAAATTGCTGGCCGAAAGCTCATCGACGAGCTGGACCTTTCACTCTTTGGTTCAGACCTTGTACAAAGGCCAGTGTGAGACCCAGCCGGACTCGTTGAGCGAAGCATCCAGACAGTCAAGCAGGTGGTCAAAAAGATCTTGCAAGGTGAGAATTTCACACCATGGCAATCGGTCACCCAGGCCTGCCAGACACACAATGAGATGGAGCGTGGAAGGGTATACGCCCTACCAATGGGCTTTTAACTTGAAGTTGCGGGTCAATGGTCAGGAGGCCTATGTGCGATTTCAATCCGAAGAGAGTGTGAGTCGTGCCACCAACGCTAAGACCAGAAAGGTGCTGAACTTCCCTGATGGCGACTTGGTGTACTTCAGGCGCGTCAAACCTCCTGCGCAACCTGCGGCTGCTGTGAGATTGGCGCGCAAGCTGCTGGTATGGGCCAGCGAGGGTACTCGCAAGCGAGACTCGCTTGAACGGAAGCCCACTCAGGTGATATGGATCGTCGCTCATGGACGCCTCAAGAGATGTTCACCTGACCAACTATAAGGCATGCATCCGGCCGGGAGAAATTGCTGGCCAAAAGCTCGTCAGCCCCAACGACGAGCTGGACCTTTCACTCTTTGGTTCAGACCTTGTACAAAGGCCAGTGTGAGACCCTTGACACGAACATTTTTCCGGAAGATGAGACGGCGCAGGCAGCTCCATGAACACCTCGTGGACCAGCAAAGAGATCTTCAAGTGAGCCGCCGGAAACCCGTGTCTCACCTCAAACCCGTGTTGCTAAGGCCAAGATTTTGAAGCCTCAGCAAGCTGTAGGAGCAGAAGACGCTTTGAAAGAACTTAGGAGATTGGCCCGAGAAGATGCCAAACAATCGAAAAGGGCCCAGAAGATGCCCGCAAGACCTCAAAAGAACCTAGTCAGAAGGAAGCTGGTGGTGGAGAGGCGCACCGTGAGACCAAGGACTTCCAGACATCATCCCGCAAACGCCTCCGATATCATCCTCATCTTCATCGGTGATACCTCGGCTGCGCGTAGATCTTGATCGGTACTTGACCGATTCCCGGTTTTCGCCCGTGCCCCATGCAATTCAGCGTGGACGACCCACTGGAGAAGTCTTTGAACAACCGATGTTCAAGAAGCGCCGCCACGAGCTTGGAGTGTCTGACGATGAGGCATTGCATTTGAGCTCCTACTTCGTCAGTGAAGATGACGCTTCCCACGAAGCCTAGTGAATGGAAGAGGCTCAAGCGCTCACCAGTCCTCTACTACGCCAAGAAGATCCAGGGCGTGGAGGTGAAGTGGCGTGAGCTCACACCTGAACAGAAGAAGGAGTTCCAGGTTGCCAAGAATACCGAGGTGGTGGATGGCTCAATCCCCTGTGAAGCGTGTGTTTGGACCTGTTCCCAAGGATCGCCCGATCCGCATGCGATGGGTCCTGACCTGGAAAGAGAGCGGCAGTGGCAAAGGAAGAATCGTCCTCATCGGCAACCAGGACCCGGACCCGGACGCCGGTGATCTCCCGCCCCAACAATGAGTAGGCGGACTCGCCAGTTGAGCTTGCAGTATGCCTCCCTCCGATGCTGGCGATGTGTCAAGGCTGACGTGAAAAGCGCCTTTTTGCAGGGCGAAGGCTCTGAAGAGAAGCGGGGGCTGTTCGCGGTGCCAGTGCCAGAACTTGCACAGGCCCTGGGGATCGCTCCAAACGAGGCCGTCCAGATCGTGAAATCACGTTGCTACGGTTTGGTCAACGCCCCCGCTAGCTGGTTTCAGAGTGTTCGAACAACCCTGGCAAACCTTGGTTTTGAGCAAAGCAAAGCGGATCCCTGCCTTTGGTTTCTGTTTGACACGCCGGATGAACGCGGCGATCGAACTTTGCTCGGCTTCATTGGAGATGAGTCGGACGACCGATGGGCAATGGCGCTCACTGGTTTCTATGACCGGTACAAGTGGAGCCCGTGGGGGCATTCGAGCTTCAACCACTGCGGAATCCGTTTGCAGGAGCACATGGATTACCGCGTGACGCTGGACCGCGCGCAGTTCTCCGAGGACATTGGCCAGATTGACTTCCAGAACCGCCCCGACCATGAGCCATTGACGCCTGAGGAGTTGACGCAACTGCGTGGAGTGTTAGGTGCATTGCAGTGGCGAAGCCACCAGAGTTGCCCGTTTCAGAGCCAGATCTCAGGTGCCACAGTAGGTTTTTTGAAAGCTGCGAACAAACTGGTGCGAGAAAATTTTCACACCAGGCGCATTTCCACCCGCATCAACCAATTGTTTTTAGATTGGTTGGTCCGATGCTGCGCTGGCGAATCGCGGGGATTTGAGCACAGGAGGATATATCATCGCGGCGACGACGCCGGAGATGGTCAAGGGTGAGAAAGCCCCATTGACCTTTGTGGCATGGCGCTCAGGAAAGTTGCCTCGGAAGGCACGATCTTCTTTGGCCGCGGAGGTCCAAGCATTGTCCGAAACGGACCAGGAGCTGATGTACTGCCCACTTCAGTGGTCCAAGTTCTGTGGCTACGCAGTCGATTTTCGGAATGTTTCAAAGGCCGTGAGCCGTGTGCCAGGAACCCTGGTCATCGACGAAAAGGCCCTGTACAATGTTCTTGGGTCATGTCAGAGACCGAGCTTGACTGGTTCAGCCTGTCATGAACACGTTCATCCATGTTGACCGACATGCTATCATTTGGCCCAATCCTCAGGGCACCCTTTTGCCACTGTGACCAAAAAGGTCACGACTCGCTACGCGGCTAGCCATAAAGCGCCTGTGCGGTTGGTGCTTTGTTCTTGGGACTTGACGTTGTTCCCTTTGAACGTCCCGTTGGTTTACAGTTGTGCACCGGTTTGCGTACAGTTGGTTGGGTACCTTCGTTCTTTGTTCAGTGAAGCTGACTGAGTTGGAACCTGGCCGGCTACCAACAGAATGAGACAGAGTTTGTTGGGACCGGGCAGCCAATGTTTTCGCTTCTTCAGGCTTTGCACAGCCCCACTGACTGTGGTGGAGGACCGCTGCATTCTGCGTGGTGACCTGGAGGGGGACTCGCAACAATGAGACACCCTCCGCGAATGCGACAAGTGGGCCAAGACCCACATTGGACAGTGTGACTGAAAAGAAACACCCACCGCTTCAGAGCTTGTCATAGCCTTCTGCTGGTAAATTGGGGGAGCGTGATGATGATGTGATCTGGTTTGCCCACTCCAGTTGCTTCCAATCATCAAATCATGCCAAAGTTCTTATCCAACCTTAAAAAATTGAACTTGCTGGGGCTCCAAGCGACTTTCACGTCATTCTCAGAAGTCCAGACAGCCAACTGGCACATACACTTTATACAGATATGTGCAGACCTTCACAGTTGAACGCGTTCGATTTGTTTTGCGATTGCCACTTTCTTCCGCCATGGAGCTGCTTTGTAGACTGCAGCCATTTATAGAATCCGTTGCGGACGTGGTTGGAGTTCAGAACGAGTGGTTTGCCACGGAGGCCAGTTGCACGCCGCGTGGAAGCGCTCAAGATGCACTTCGAAGGGTTGTTGGCGAGATGCAAGAACACACTGCAAGACTTCAATGCACTTTTAAACTCATTGCATTTGCGTATTTTGGATCTTGTGAGCACTTTCACTTTAAACCTCAACCAGTATTTTCTCATCACTTCGCGCTTCCAGCGCGTGCCTCCGAAATCGGGTGCCAGGAAGAGATGCTCGCGGAACTGGCGCGAAGCCAAGATAACTTTTGGGACCAAACCGTCAAGGCTGTGCACGAGATCCACAAGGAGGTTGGAAGACGAAGACGAAGACTCCACGTGGGAAGGAGACGGATCATTTCAAGGAGACGAGACGGTCGCAAGACTCGCAAGACTCCTTGCTGCGTAGGTGGCGTTGGAGTCTAACCTGCCGTCTACTAGCAATGCCAAAGGGCTTTGGATCGGCCACTGCCGCGACCGTTTCGGGAGACCGTTTCGGGAGGCCAGGAAGGTGAAGCAGCAAGTGCAGACCGTTTGCGAGGCGTTTGACGGAGAAGTGTTTGAGTCACTTGTGCCACTTGTGTCAAGTTTGTTGTTAACTTGTTGTTATGTCTTCGTTCGGTGTTTGCTTGGCTGCCAGGTGTTTCGCACTGCTTTTTCGTGTTGCTACACCGCGACGGTTTCAGAAGAGGGAGGTGGCGCCTCGCCTCGCAATGAAAGTCCAACCCGTCTCTTCCTTTGAGGTGTTGGCCTGTCCAACCAGAACGCACAAGTCTCGTTTGTGTGTCGACTTCCTTTGTGGCCCGAAGAAAGGAGACTACGCATCAATGAAACAAGCAACGAGCGGAAGATTGGTCTCGCCGAGGTGACCCAGCCACCTCGCATTTGGGCGTCGTTTGAGGCGCGCCTGTCCATTTCGGAAGGTTCTTGGGGTGACGTTTGCGTTCTTTGCCCTGTTGCACACGCGAAGATCATCATCATCATCATCATCATCACCATCATCGTCATAGTGCAGATGAGGCATCACATTGTTGTTGTTTTTTGTTTTTTGTAAAGCAAGATTCTGAGGATTTTCTAGGCAATTGCAGGTGAACAATTCCCTCGTGCCAGACGTTCCACATGGACATACGATTTGGTCCAAAGTTGCACCTCAATCGACGCTTCCGAAGAACACCGCAGAAACGTCAGAAACGGGGCGGGTCGAGCGAAGGGACGACGTGGACGGGGTCCTGTGGCAAGGAAATCAGGAAAGGAAGTTGTTGAATGCAACACACGTGCTGTTCCCTTTTTCTTCAGATCACGACACCGGTTGTTATGTGTTTTGTGGGCTGTCGGCGAGCGATCCTGGCAGTTGCGTCCCAGGCATTTAATGAGAGCCCAACTCACAGCACTGGCGCTGTATTCGCTCCTTGGGCAAAACAGCGGGTGCAGCAAGGTGACGAAGCAACCGGTTGATCCGCTTGTGTCCTGCAGAAGCAAGCGCAAAAACATGCAACAGGCGTCAACAGGCTATCCTATAGACGGAACGCTTGAATTTATATACATGTTCCTTTATACTCCTTTACTTCTTTGGTCTTTCACACGGCATAGAAAAAAACGATGAAGAACAGATCTCTTGAGAGGTTCCGCTTTCGTTCGTGCTCGTCGCCCGCTCTCCAAGGCCTGTGGTGTTCACCCATTCGGAGAAAGGCGACGCCGTGGACTTGTTAGGACGAGATTCACGAGATGGTCACTTCTGTAAAGATCCCGGGTGACTCGGTGGTCACTTCTGTTTCGCTGGTTTCGTAGCTTGCGACACCGGCTTTGTCACGGCTTTGATCGGGTTCCTTTTTCAGGTTGGGAGTGTCAGTACTGAGCGGTGCGTTCCAGTTGGTCGGACGGTCGCTGGAGCTGGTGACGAGCGGTAGGGAAAGAATGGGATCAGCGACGAGGCATGTGGGCAGAGTAGTAAGTATATAGCAATAAGCATGGCAATTTGTCATCCGGGTACATGCTGTTGGTCTTGTTGGTCTTCCCTTTCAGCTGTTTGGGGTTGACCCACCCTGGAAAATCCCTTCGTTCCCTACTTAATAAGCACCGACCAAGACCCTGGATGTGATGCGGCCAAAGTGCGCATTTTCCGATCAGCTTTTTGCGGCCAAAGTGTGATGTTTTGGTACTTTATTGGGAGCCCATAGTGGAAAACGTCTGCAGTTTGTGACCTCCATTGAATCTGTTGGCTGAAAAATAGAAGCAGCGCTCGCCTTACAACTATTCGTGTGAAAATCGAGTTGCCAACGAAATTGCAGTAGATCACGTGGCACTGGCACAGGCTGGGGCTCATTGGGAAGCTACAAGAGCGGATAAGCTTTGATAGCTATATCCGTGGAAAGGTCCGTTTGTGGCCTTGAGAAACTGCTGTAGCTAAATGAATACCAAGAGGGTGGGCCAACATTCTATTAAGACACGAAGTTGCAGCAGGAGAAGGACATCATTGGAAGCAAAGCTGTGCTGGCAGATTTGCTCCAGCCCAGCCTATCAGCGCCCAAAGTGGTGCGGCCACCTCCGCCATGCGCGGTGAAACAACAAGGGTGTGCAGATTCCATTGGGTTCTTCAGCCAACCTGTGCTGTTACCTTGAATCTTGAAAGGTGTTCAGGATATTTATGTAGGATTCCGTAGGATGGATCAAGATCAAGTCCCAAGATGACCGGAATGTTCTTTGGTTGTCAAGTGACTTCATGGTCAGCTGTTCAACCCGCAGGTGCTATTGCCAACCAAACCGTTTCAACATCGCAGGTCGCACATCGCAGGGTCACGGTCATAAGCCGATTTTTTCAATCGTCGGCGCTGACTATTCTAACATATTCTACCTTGGGTGTTTGGGATTCTACCCAAAGGTCTTAAAAGAGTTCAGAGCTCCCAATCTTGGAGACTGGCCGTCCTTGTTGTCATGACCATTACAGTGGTCCGTCCCGAAGAAAAGGGAAGCATGGCATTTGGAGTTTGGAAGCCTGTCCAGCCTGTCCTTTTCAAACAGAATAGCTGAATGGATGTGAGTTGTGCCAAAGAAACGCACCTCTCTTTCGTTTGAACTTCTTCGACCTCCGGTCGAGATCCCCGGACGCGAGAGTGCGAGAGTCCGGGTCGCCGTGTGCGGGAAGGAGTCGAGACGGTGGGAAGACGCCGGTGGAAGATGATTTGTGGTCGATTGGTCCCCCTGCCCGGGGCAAGCGGTTTTAGAAGTTTAAGTATCTTGCAAGGGGATCTTGTGTGGCTGACTCAGTGAATTGGAGAGCCACCGAGCTTCGACTCAACCACTTGTCTTTGCAGCTCAAGCTGCGACATGCCCAAGCGCGCTGCTTCCAGGGCCTCTGCCTTGGGGGGCTGCCAACCCCACGAGATGCAATGACAGAGCAACAGTTGGATCCAAAAAGGAGCGTCAGCGGCTACTGAATGCATTCGTCATATTTCGTCATTGTCCCAGCAGCTGTGTTCGTGCACGTTGCGTTTGAATTTGATACTTCTTGACAAAGTCCAAGGTGTGGCTTTGATGTGATGGACGAAGAAAACACCGTTTTGGCGGTTTTTGCAGTGAAACGTGCACCTTTTTATGTTGCCCAGGAGGCGCTTCCTGATGCTTTCTGTCTTGACACTCTTGCGCGGCCGAACTCCGCCTTTTGGTTCAAAAGGGTTCCCTTTTGCTTTTCCAGGTCGAAGTCATGATACCAGGAGGGACGCCAGAACTTTCCGCACGGAGCTTGTAGAAGTCCGTCAAAGACACATTCGCACTCTTTTTGACGCAGTTTGCGAACCTCGTCACCGACCTCGCACTCAGATTCTCTTTTTGTTTCACGTGAGACCAGGAGATCTGGAGCACCTAAGCCAAGAGCTCTTCCAGTGGTTGGGGCTTCTTGACGTGATGACGTTGATGTCAAACGCGTCGGGACGTTGACGACGTGTTTTTTCTTGAGTTTATAGTCGGGACACCCCCCAGACTCACCACGACCTGGGGTGGTGCTCAAAGAGAAATGTTACAATGTGCCACACACACACACACATATATATATATATATATTATACGAAAGCCAGCCGATAGGCTAGGCTTGAGCTTTTAGACCGAACGAAGTGAGTTAAGGGTGTGTGGGGGGGGGTAGGAGGCGAAAAGGCAGCAGAAAAGCAGTGAAAACGGGTCTGATGATGGGAGTGATGCAATGGACGCCGAGTAGTGCATCATTAGCATCACGAAGGGCTGTGGAGGCTATTTGGACAATGGGCATTGAGCACTGGAGTGGAGACAGGCACCCATGTACATAGTACAGAGCAACCATCCTAGTCTCGAGAAATCTGGTTGGACGTATTGGGGCCAGTATGGTAGTTGGCTGGCAGCGACAAGTGCCTATCAGAAAAGGGGGGGCCCGTGTAGACAGCAACTTGGTGAGGTGAAGAGATTGCTGTTTGAGGATGGGCTATAGTCACGGATCTGTAGACTATTTTTGGATGACGGTTGGTGACACCAATGCTGAGGCATATAGTTTCCTGCCATCCTCCTAGTCATCCTTTCAGAGAAGTCTGGTTGGACGTATTGGGGCAAGTATAGTAGTTGGTTGGCAGCGACAAGTTGGTATCAGAAAAGGGGCCCGTGTAGATAGCAACTTCGTGGGGTGAAGAGATTGGTGTTTAAGGACTTGTTATAGCCACGGATCTATGCAATATTTTAGGATGACGCTTGGTGACACTCATGTTGAAGCATACAGTGCCTGCCATCGTCCTAGTAAACATGTGTTGCTTAGATGGTTTCTTCTTTTGACCCTCTCGTCTGGCGGCTGCAGGCTTTCGTTCCCCCCTTCTCAAGTATATATATATATATATGTATATATATATATTTTTTTTTTTGATAGGAGAAGACCATGTTTTGGCTCCAAAACAGGGGTCAATCAGGTTCTAGGTATATATATATATATTGTTGTCTTTCTTTTACATCACTAGTGAGGAGTGTAGTACTTGGGACTTCTACCGAGTTCTACCAGGGACTAGTCGGCGAACGTCCCAGATTTCTTTGTGGTCCAACCGGTGGAGCCTTTGCGTTGCATGGTCCAAGGCTTTTGATGGCCTCGAAACTGTCCATCTTGCAGATGGTCCACACGACCAACTAGCGCAAGCCTCGGAACATGCAGCTCGGCAAGACTCGCAAGAGACTCGTCGAACCTGAGCGGAACGGGGGGAGCCGGAGCACGATTGGTGGTGCAAAATGGCTTCACAGAGTCAAATGACACAAGCATCGTAAACCCTTCACAGCTTTTGCTTGGTTTATAAACAGATCAACAGCTTATGAGCTTCTGGTTGGTTTGGTGACTCATTCTGGGCCCCCTTTTGGGGAGGAATTCTTTGAAGACACATGGTGTGGGGGGGAAAACTTCTTTGTTCCGTCAGCCATCGTGTTCCAACACCTCCAACTATAGAAATTGACATGAACACTCAGATTGAAACTGGGCAGTTCCGTTTGGGAAAAGGGGAGGACAAATGTTGGCAACCCGGTGACAGAAACTGCAGGTGACAGAAGCTGCTGAAAGCGGTCGCTTGGCGATAAAAGATGTGACTTGCCGCCGGGCTCATGTCTCCTCCGCATCGAATCAGGGCGAATTGAATGGCTTGACCTGGAGAAGTTCTACAAGAGGAGGACAGCTGTGAAAGCCAGCCCATTTCGTCCGCCCAGTCTCAGACATTTGAACCACTTGTTTGGGTCATTGCCTCGGCTTAAGCCTTTTCGATTCGGAATTCATCATTTTTTTTATGGGGTGGGGAGTTTCCCATGCCCAAACCTGGAGCTGTCCACGGACTCCCTTTGCAGACTCGACATGAAAAGACTCAACCCTCACCAGACGGAAGACTAGACTACTCCCCCCTCACCGACCTCGAAACCAGGAGTCTTTACAAGACCTCGGCGACCGATCTACCTCGCTTCGACGTGGAGCTTCGACCCCTTCGACGTGGCGCCTTGACGAGCGCGGTGGTGGCGCTTCGACCGGCGAAGCGCGGCAGGCGCTGAGACCGGCCCTTCATGTGAAGTGGGCCTTGATCGAAGCCTTGGAAACGCCGGGTGCAGAACAACTGCACAGGTGGTTGGAGTGAGAAGATGGGCTGAGCAACTTCACACACAGGCACATCTATGAAAGCTGCGTGACCCCGAATGAAGGCAACCAGATGAAAGTACTTTCACCCAAATTTTGAAGGGACTAGGAATGCCAGTGGGTAAACAGGCCTAAGATGCGATCAAGTTGGGTATGGCAGCAAGATGTAGCAAGGGAGGTGTCGTGTCCTTTTGTCTGACACGACTCGTCGAAGGATGTGGCCAAAGACTGTCAAGATATTCTCCTGCAGATGACGCTGAGTTTCAAAGTCTCTGATTGTGAACGGTTCATTGAAAGCATCTGTGGCCAGACGTGCACATGGAGCCACATGACTGCGTCCAGCCAGCTTTTGCCAAAAACAGTGCAAATCCATCCCAAACGGTCTTCCTGAATTGGCTTGTGTGCCGCCTTGCCTAAGGTAGAGTGAACTGAGTAGAAGGAGCTTTGGAAAGAATGAAGTGATAATGTTAATAAAGTATGCTAAAGCGTACACCTTTTGTGTGATCCGATGGACGTTCTTACAGGTGTGGCACGTGTCAGGTTCTGCAAGTGCTTAGAGCCCAGGTGCCAAACATTTGCGGACCAACCCTTCATTCATTTCCACTAGATTCAATGGACGGTTTGGGGATGGGTCAGGTTCTCGCAGTTGGGCGTGTTCTGAAGCCATGCTTTCGGGTTCTTTGTTGCGAAGTCAAGAGCCTGTTCGGAAGTTGACCATTTCCGCGTGGTGTCGAAGGCAAGTGTTGGTATTGTTGGAAAGCCGCCATGAAGAAGGCCGTATGCACAGGCTGCTTGCTGCATTCCACAAGGGCAAGGACGAGACCTCTCCGAA